ATGCCATGGTTTGAATACATTGTTTACTTACATCTACGTTTACTTATTGCAAATTTTATTATTATTTACATCTTAGCTATGTTAAACAAATTCATTTCCAGAAGTACGTTTCTCAGCTAAGAAGGACTGTCAACACAACGACACGTGTAAACTTCTCGGTTGTTGTGATTTCACATATGAACTTTTTTTTTGGAAGTTGCTCTTCGCTGTGTGTTAATGTGCATGAGATTGTTAATTTCTTAATGAGCATGACATTTAAGAAACCTGGATACTGAAGTAAGACTATCGTATGCTTTATGCCCTGTTTGGCACACGTTTCCTGAAAGGTCTGCTCGTATACCGTGGCCCACTGTCAAGTGCAATCTCTTTAGGGGCACTGAACAGATTGAATATTGCATTCATTGTGTCTGCCTGGAACATGCTTCAACTATTCTTGAACTCTGACAGATCAAATTTGGAGAATTTGTGACAAGAAGAAAATAGTCACGATGTAATTAAAACTGTTGTGATTTTGAACTGAGAATCTGAAACAACCGTTCTAGTGTATAGAGGTTCCCAATGTTACTGTGGTTGTTGATTCTGGCATACCTCACACATCTTTAGTGTATTCTCGATTTCATTGTTGATCCCAGGCCAATGCACACTATTCCTTGCCAGGCAGCTTGTTTGCTATGTGCCCATTTCTCTGTGATGTACTTGTGACAATATGCCCTTCCAAACATGTTTGATTACAAGCACTTGTTTCTCTTAAAAACTGAATCTCTTGAGGTACCTAGTTCATCTCTGTATGGTCAAGAGCATTTCAGAGTGGCTTCTACCTATTTTGTCATGTCAGGCCATCCTTCTTTGCAACTTTCCATAGCGCCTTTAGTCCTAGATGACTAACTGTTTCTTCCTGAAGTCGGCTGCATTAGTGCTAACCAAAATTCATTGGATCGATCACAGGCACATCTTCCACCTCAGTGTTCATACTATGTACTTATAATTTGAGGGAAATTTCTGCATTCATACTGGAATTTGCTAACTATCTGAATGTGTGTGAGGCAACCATTTTGGGTCTAGATTTGTAGCAGACATTAAAGTCAAATCACTGTTCCTCTACCAGAAATTGCTGCAGTCTCGTTAGCGCATTTGTCCGTGGATTATGCCACTGAATTGCCAATGATTTGTGATCAGTTTCCACAGTGACTTGCTTTCCAAAGAGATACATCTGGTATCTTGTGATATTGAACACTAAAGCAAGTGTTTCATACTCTATGTTGGAATTACTGGAATCAACTTGTGATAGACTTTTGGATAGAAATGCAACTGGTTGATCATATTGCATGGTGCAAACTCTTAACCCTTTGAGGTATATCAACTTCCAGGACTGTCCTCTTCCCTGGGTTGGAGTTCTGTAGGATATAGGTTTCTGCTGACACCTTTTTGAATGATTGGAGATGAGTTGATGCTACTGCCTTAAACATAGGTCATATTTTTCCTTAAAAGTTCTCTTAATGATGATGCTTTGTCAGAAAAGTTTAGTATGTACAGTGCTTAATAAAGTAAAATAAAAATCTGAGACATCTCTTCTTTACCTTAGGAAGGAGGCAGGTGTTGTACATTTTTAAATTTTACCCAGCTTATAACAGAGTCCATAACCTGAATAGATACAGCTAAGAAGATGATCTGACCTATGTATTTACCTGACACTTATTACTATTGAAGACAAGTTCTTCACAATGAGCTGCTGTGATGACTAACTCGATTTCTGTCATGTACATCTGTGGCTTTGCTCATCACTGCAATATCATTAGTAATACAGACACATTCTAGAATACTTTCTGTAATTCTGCCCACATGATGCTATAACAGATCCCAACAAAACAGACCAAAGCTAGGTCAGATAGACAAAATAGAACAAGATGGACCACAGGATTGTCTCTGGAAGCAATGTCTTCCAAATTCTGGAAGTACTGATTTCTTGAACTTCTTTTGCCAAGTGAAACCTTCAAGGTCTATGTTTGATATCCAGCTTAAAGAATGATTCAGCTCCCGTGAATTTGGTATTCCGTTCTGCTAAAGTCAAAATTTTAAGTGGGAATCACTTTAGAGAAAGCTTTAAATGTCTTAGGCCAAATATACTCCAATTGTGCCATTATGAAGAAACAGATTTTCAGTCAGAGGATGATCAACCTGTGGAATTCACTACCACAGAAGGCTGCAGAGACCAGGTTACTAGGTACGCTCAAGAAACAGACTGATAAATATTTAGATATTAAAGGCATCAAGGAGTATGGAAAGAAAGGAGGATTATGGTGATATAGACGACCAGCCATAATCTTACTGAACGGCAGAGAAGGCACAAAGATAGATAGCTTCACAGTTGGTGCAAGATGCTGCACTTCCCACGCTGCTCGCTTGCTTTCTGTCTCCTGCCTACTGCATCACTTGTAACTGTAGGTAATGTTTGCCAACGTTGCTGCCCAGCTACAACAGCTTAAAGCTTTCTAACAGTAATATATTATGCCAACATTGTGTCCACTATCTTTTCCTCCAAGTGATCTTTTTGGGAAGTATCCGTGATCCAATTAGGCAACTCAATTTCTGAAAAATCAGCCTTGGCAGGACACCTACTGATAAAGTACTCAAATAATTCCTTTGGCTGTTGTCTGGAAGAGATCTGTTCTAGATGGTGAATTTGATAGTTTACTTTTACACGAAGCTAATTTTCCAGCATTTCCCATTAATTAGCAGGTTCTTTCCAGGCTAGTCCTAAAAGAACCAACGGGCTGACTCTGTGCAAGCCCACATTTTAATGAACTATCTTTACTGTCATTGTGTGCTTATCTGGTTCTACAACATCTAAATTGAAAAAGCAAAGCTTCATCCTTTGTATGAACAGCCTAAATTCAAATGTGATTTCTGTGGTCTTCCAATTCATTCTAGGCAATGTCAGATATCTTTCTGATTTTACCTGTCTTCTGCAAATATTAATTATGTCTAGGGGATTTATAGGCCACTTGGGAAAGATTAATCTTTGTGGAGATTCAGAAATGTAGTGACTCTGTTTTCTTCACTCTTTAAAAAAGAAATCTGCTTTCTGCTGGTTTTAGCTGCAGCTCCAGCTTCATTAATTTTTTTAATATGAATCAAGCACTCTGTGTAGTGATTTCTTTTCCGAGTCTGGGCATACACTTAACTTCTGCAGCTACAAATTTTGTCTGTAAGACCTTCTCCTGCGGTTTACAAACTTCTTTTATTGTCCTTTTCCCAAAAAAGAATCACCTGATCACCATATCATACTCCTCATGCCATTGGTAAGTAACACAGACTAAGTAGTGCGGGTTCAATTTACTTGAAAACCTCACAAGAATATTTACCAGCTCAAATTATAACTTGCAATAAGATAATTATGTATGCAATCTGTTTCTGGCAAATATTTTCTAAACAACCTGTTCAGGGATGTTATTACTTGCTGCTGCTGGACTAGACATGGTAGTTGGTCATGTGCTTTCAGATCAGTTTATTACTCAGCACTGAAAATACACGGCCCTTCACACTGATATACATTTAATGATTGATGAAGTGCCTCTTTCATCCCATCTACAACCCTGAATCTTAGGGAATTTAAAACAACTGGCCTGACATCAGTGTCACCAACGGATTATCTTACCCTATTGACTTTACTGAGATATAAAAATAACAGAGACAATAGAGATGTAAAAAGACATTGAAGTAACAACATAATGAAGAAATACCAAGTACTCTGCTTAGAACATGGATCTCCCATTCACAGAATCATACCAATTGGAGAGCTTGGCTCCAGATACACATGATAATTGCTCGATGACCTCAGGCTGTATCAGAAACTGAATCAGTTATTACTGTGTCAGATTATTAGGTTCAATTCAAGACAGTCACAGCCACTTGTATTTTAAAAAAAAGTTTGTCTACCTAGCCTGAATTGAGGAGTCACTAATTTCATTGAGGAAGCTTACAGCATTCACCAGGTGCCTTTAAAATAGTAATATCACTACATGTACCATCGGAAGTGCAGTTAATAGAGACACCAAGCCAAAAGGGTAAAGAAAAGATAGCTCAAAAGTGTGGTTTAATGTTAATTAAAGACAAGGGGAGGAAGGAGGAAGGATTCACAGAGGAAGTCACAGGGGAACATTGAGAGCTGTAGTGCTGAAATTATAGAAGAACAGGGTCAGTGAATGAAAAGTTAAAGGAGAAAAAATGTTGGAAAAGAGCAAAGAACGTGTTTTTATAAATAACTTCTGGTAATTCCAAAGCGCTTGTTGTCAACTTCCAGGTTTATATAGCTAACAATATACAAGGACACCTACACTGCAGTAAAGACGGATAACGATTTTGCCACTCAGACCTACGAACAGTGAGCTTTCAATTCTACACGGAATACCAAATAAGAAACGCCATAAAGATCCCATCACGAACGAAACTGAACTAAACAGGATTTACTCTGGTTGCATTAGAATATAAACAATGAATAATTTGATTTTGAAGCATTAAAAAACGTCGCTTCTCAATTAATATTAGGCAAGTCTCGCATTTGCGTTTCTAGCTGCCTAAATTAAGGGACTGCTTACATTAGCATCTGTCGAATTGTCAAAATCCTGGACTGCGCATCGATTTTCCGTTGAAGCAAACGCCACCACAAGAGCAACGCAACAGACAGCAACACTTGCGCTCCATGGGGCAAGGGGATTGAAACGGTGCGAAACAGGTTGCAAAAAAAAAACTGGCGTCAGCGGGGCACCGTTTACAGTACATCTAATACAACGCATTTGTTTAACTACACTCTCAAAATGTACGTAACCGCAATGTTGTCTCGAGGTGGATGGGGAACGCGTGAAGGAAGCCAGGGAGGGAGCATCCCGGTACAGCACACCGTACTGACATTTGAGATTAAGGTACACAGAATGCTAACGGTAGCTTGGTGCGAAATGAATGGCGAACGCGCTCTCTCTCTCATCCGCCCGCGACCGCCTTACATTTCCGATTGTTTCCATTCGAGTGAAACACCATCAGCTCCGCGACGTCACAATGATCGACTTGAAACGTGACCAGTCTGCGACGTTCCAACGGCACCAACGTTCGGAGATGGAACGCGGCAGCGCCCGCAGCTCCAATCAGAGGCGCGCATGGGCGGGACTCCATTCTTCCTTCCCACCCACACTGAGCGCAGAGCCGATCCCAGCGTTTGCGTTGATCAGAAAACGCCCTTTAACCGTTTCCGGGCTCCTTTCATCTTGGAGTCTATGTATACACATATGCAAATATATCGCTACCGTTGTGTACTGAACAATAACAAACACTTGGCAATGTGCTGATACACATTGTGGGGGAATGTAAATGGCCTCACCGTTTCCGTCCGACATTGTGAGTTTGCTCCGACGGGCAGGCTGCACGGTTCCTCCCGGGTGAT